CCCATAGCATCAAGGGTTACAGCCCTTATTGACAGCCCTGAATTGTACACTGTTCAACAAAAACAAACCCTAATTGTTGAGTTGTTATGATCTAGCCGCCATCTTAATCATGATTTACAGTGATCATGACAAGTGTGACTCTCTTTTGTTCTAAACTGATCTGCTCTGCTACATAACACTAGGTATTGGAACCTCTGTATAACAAGGAATTTTGTGCCCATTTGTGTTACTATTGTGTTGTAAAATTAACAAGGCAGCACAAGCAACTATCTTAAGTTGCAAACTTCTGTAAATAAGTAAATAAATTAATTAATTAATAACCACACAAACAAACAAACAAACAAATAAATAGATAAATATTTAACCCTATATCCGAGGGCAAAATTGCTCCTTTAACTTTTTTGCAAAAGGCTGCAATAATAATAGTGATATCCCTTGTTCTTTCAAATTGATCCAAAAAAGTATCCCTCTTTCATTTGAACTAAATGACGATGTTCCTTTGTTTCCCAAAACCTTTGGGAAGCCCCTTTGACGCGAAAGTCCATCTGAATACATTATTGAGTAGAATTTTTGTTCATTTGACTATTCTCTAACTTGTTTTCTATTGTTGCTGGCGTAACTGTGATAAATGTTGATGATTGTTTTTTTTTATTATTATTATTTTGATTCTGGTTTAGTTCTCGGCCTTGATGACAAGATAGGGAATTTTGAGGTAAAGTCAGTTTCTGCTCATTTATCAGCTCGTTACTTCTGCAAAACACTGATATATTGGTTATTAACTTCCTTATTAGGTCGGTAAAGACTTTGATGCTTTAGTTATTGACTCTGATGCCCCGGATGCACCGTTTGATCGTTTTAATGCAGATGATTCAAAGGTATGATTAATCACTGGTTCAATGAACTGATCAATACTCGAAGTAAATGCATTTAGCTGACTTAAACCTTGGGAAAACGTCTGCGAGCGAATCACTGTTGGTTTTGGTTTGACTTCTAGTTGGATGGCAAAGTAGACTGAGTTTTTTAAGTCAATCGTTTAGCGTAGCAATGCAAAACATAAGCAAATACGGATTATTTTTGATTCACAAGGGAAAACCGCTCTGACAAAGTAACAAATATTTGTTTTGTTGGATAACTATCGTTTTATTTTCTTACGAAAATGGCTGTATTGAAAGTATTTATTGCTGTTTCTCGTTCTAGGATATAGTTCAAAAGTTTCTTTTCCTTGGTGAGTAGCTGAGTGATTCTCTTGTTTCAATCTTTTCCTGGAATTGGTTTGCTTTCTTATTTGGTAGGTAATCTTAGACATGTTTCAGCATCCTTAATTGTTTTTCTTTCGCGACAGGTGACGACCGAAATATTCAACAAGTGTACGTGGCTGGAAAACTTGTTTCAGGACGAGATGTCGTCACAAAGAGTCCACCAGAATACATAGAAATTGATTAGATATTGGAATACGCTATAGTACCCGTCCAGAACCGGGACAGATACAGAGGGAGGTACAGAGCGGGGGGGAGGGTACAAAGGGAAATACATGGGGATACGAGAAGAGACTACAAACTTGATTACATCACGACTGTCAGTGATCGTTTAAGATGATTCTCCCTCTGCTTCCTGATTGATGCACGATGTAATTGTTGTAGTTATAAATTTGTAAGTCTCATGTGGTCAAAGTAGTATTTTGGTAGCTATTGTGTAAATTTAATCCATGAATCGAGCCGAAAACCAAACGAAAAATTCGCAATGCCTGCGGACCTGACAAGAGAAGATAAAGAGGGATAGGGTATTCAGTCCTCTCGTGAATAATGTTACCACGCGCGGTGCGTGGGTGGTGCGTGGATGTTTACTCGGAGGATGACAATACGTGCAAGGTGCTCAGGCAGTTCGGCTGCGTGAGTAACATTTGCGTCACAGGATTACCAATTTCTAGACCTCTCTGGAATTTCTAAGGCCTGGGGTGATCTAAAAATAACTTGAAAGAAATCGCGTTTCTTTGGGTTTGGCAAATATGTTATGGTATTTTGTCTTGGTGGAAACATATTGATGCAACGCAACGTTTCTGTTGAAATTTACAAACTGAGGAATAAAGAGTGCAAATTTGTTCAAAGCGCGTGCAAGTTGTTTGTTTCCAGACCAGCCCCTCAAGGGACGTTATTTCTTTGGTTAATGGCCCCTTAATACATCCACAAGCAAGTTCCTTCAAAAAGGGACCTTGATCAGAAGCGCCAACAAAGAGTCGAAAAGAGCATGTTCTCCATTGTGCGACAGGCATGCATTCGTTAATACCTTCGTTTCTTTCATCACTTTGGTTTACTGACGTGAGATGACGAATCCTTCCATCTTTGTTTTGGAGATGAGATGGCTCTTTGACTCTAATGTTGAACATATAAGAAGCAGTTAGTGTTGTGAGGTTATCCGTCCGGTTTTGACGGAAGAAAGTGCAACTATGATAAGTAGCTCTATGGTAAATTCTAACAGTATATTGCAAAAGCATAGAACTTAACAAAACAAGAGATAATGATGTAATAAAAAAAAGGGGCATGCAAGTCAAGGTACATTGGTCTGATTTTGTTAAAAGATTATTGCGTACATCTGAACATTGTAAATAAGTAAACTTCGTCAACTGAATATTAACAAAATGATCTGGAGAATTAATTCTGTGGTAGCTTCTACTGGAGATAATTAGGTGACATTCGGAAGTGATTTTTTCTTTTAAGAATTGAGTACAGGGACAGTAGAAAGGTGATTTTCGTCTTCAATTTGATTGGATCCACATGAAGGACAGACAAACTTGGGATTTAATAATACCACTTTCAATCATGAGTTTGTGATAACCTATTCGAAGTTTCACTTATTTTCGTATTATTAAGTTTGCTTGACTTGTGGTTAAGTATTGGAAATCGGCCCAAAGAGAAAATACTTGCGCTGATTGGTTTAAAATCGTGTTTCTATTTAACATTGCGCTCTCGTCAACCATCACGCATATAAATCGAGAGCGAACAATCTTATTGTTTTAATATAAATCTTCATCTAGTTTATCTAAAGCCTTTAGCCGTTCAAATCTTTATCTAAAGCCTTTTCCCAGACACCTAGAAAACGCAAAGACGCGGCCCCACACTGCTACGCTACTCGCTATCTACAACAGAATAAATAGCGAGTAGCGTAGCCAATCAGAGAACGGCATTCGTGATAGAGCAGTAGAAGATTTATGTTGAAGTCTGAGTTCATTTGAATAAAATAATTGAATAAAACTCGATAGAAACACAGAACTAGCACAGGCTGTGGCGCAAGCAGAGATAATTTACATTTTGATGATCAAAGTAAACAACTTTTTTTTCGCTGCGGCATTTTCTAAAAGACAGCAAACACGTTCTCTACTAGTCTCCCGCCCTTTTCCCTCTTTCCATCGTTCCCCGCGCGCCCTCCCACTCCCAATATTAAATTTCCCACAGGGAGCCTCCGCGAAGTAATACCAATGAATCGCAAGTGGCGTTCGTCGTAGGAGAAACTAACTGCTCGCAGGATAAGGGGCAGTTTAGTTTAGGAAGAAAAATCGGCGTCGAAACGTAGGATAAAAAGCCCTAATTACATGTAACTGTCTCAGGAAATTCAGCGATCACAAGTCATTGATGCGAGCAAGGTCTAATATGTTAATTAGTTTACACAGCTTCTGGTTTGCCGCAAAATAGACCATTTTACAGTTGTCTGCTCAGTGACCTGGCCTTTGTATGGCAGCGAGGCTAGAGTTGACCTTGTTTTGATACAGACNCATGACAAAAGCAGTGAGGTCTGTATCAAAACAAGGTCAACTCTAGCCTCGCTGCCATACAAAGGCCAGGTCACTGAGCAGACAACAGTAAAATGGTCTATTAACATGTTCCTTAATTGAAGAGGCAAGAAAGTCAAATTTATTGATAACCCTTTTTTCTCATTTATTAGAAACCTTTATTGATAATCGTTTGGTGCTGCAGGTAAGCAGCAAGTTTTGAAAGCGGCTTAGAAAAACGTCCCAACTTTCGTGCTACAGACCGTACGACACGCTAGGGTGGTCTTCTAAAGTTAGTATGCGTGACCCACAAACAGTGCTAATTATCATTATCATTCATTTATAAGTTTTCGATACGAATACTTCATCGCCATAGCTTTCGTTTTGGAGTTAGAGCTTCAAGAGGCTGCCTGATGAATGGGAAGAAGAAACATTTTTTGTGGCTTTCATTCTTCACTGCCGCCGTTGTGCTTGGTGGGTTTATTTACCAATATAATTTTCAAATCACTGTTCAGAGATATCCAGCGCGACTCAGCGAAATACAGCATGATCTCCAGACAGCTTCGGCGCCAAGCGAGCCTCAAATAGTATTGATTTATACCAAGTTTATAAGTCATTTGCCGTGGCCAGGGCTGAAAAATTCGCAAGACTTCACCCAATTTAAAGGCCAGAAATGCCGGGAAACCAACTGCAAACTAAGTTATGATAAGCGAGACTTCACAAATAGCAAGGTCGTGATTTTTCATGCGTATAACATGCCTCCTCAGAAAGAAATGTTTGATCTTCAACAAAGAAGACCTAAAGATCAAGTCTGGGTTTATTTCACCCTCGAAAACCCAATCGTGACGTCGTACATCGCTCCTCACAAGAATCGTCGCGATCTGGACAACGTTTTCAATTGGACAATGAATTATATGCGAGATTCGGATATCTATCATCCGTATGGCTTCTATTTGCCTCTAAACCACAGTGAATTTACTCCGCTGAGCAGCAGTATAAATTATGCAAAAGGGAAAAGTAAACTCGCAGTATGGACTTGTAGTGGCCATGGACAAGTTGTCAAGGAGAGAAAACTTAGAGTTCTGTATGTCCGCCAACTTAGGAAGCACATACCGATAGATGTGTACGGCAAGAGTGCAATATATTTTCATCAACCAAGTTTGAAAGAGAAGTGCATGAAAGATAAAGCTTACGGAACTCCAGACTGTAGATCTCTTTTGCAAAACTACAAATTTTTTCTCGCTTTTGAGAACATGAACTGTGACGACTATATCACTGAGAAATACTGGTGCACCCCCCTTGAACTTGGTTTAGTTCCTGTAGTTATGGGGGGAGCAGACTATAAAGCCCTCGCTATACCAGGTTCCTATATAAACGTGATGGATTTCCCGTCTATTAAAAAGCTGGCAGAGTATTTGCTGTTTCTTGATCAAAATGATGACGAATATAATACATATTTTGAATGGAAGAAGTATTACAAAGTTGGCGGTTGTTTAAGACCTAGACTAAACATGTCAAACCATTATCCTTGGATGTGTGAAGTTTGCGCCGCTGCAAATAACCATTCGCTTGTAAAGAAAACCTACAGGAAGATCCAAGACTTTTATAATCCTGACAAACGATGTGCCATACAATATTCAAGACTAAACGAAATCATCTCAGAAGCTGCGGAAATGTCACTCAAAGAGACACTGGAGCGACAGTGACCCAGACCATCTGAAAAGACAGACACCCTGGACACTGGCATGCTCGCACGTGGACAGACAGACACTGGTGAAAAGAAGAGCAACAAGACGAAGCAATAATTAAATGATTTTTGGTTGCCAGATCAAAAGGATTTTACGATAGTTCTTGTTATGATCAGCTGCTATATCTTCCCACTTTACGGTTACGAGTGAAGTCAACTTTCCGGCAAGCGTAATAGTTCCTCTGGAGAACAAGACTTGACTACCACTAGTTCTACTGTTAACCGGTTGTAATGTCCACCAGAAGGTCGGAAAATTCCGATAACAAACCCTCCTGCCCTGAAAATAGCACGCCGAATAAAGGGACATGCCAAACGATTGAGTTTCCCTGTAGCCTGCGTGGCTGGCGGGAAATATTCGCGAAGGCAGAGCACTCGTGCGCGACATCCCATCGGCTACACAGGTTACTAACGTTGTGGAAATTAGGATCCGAACAACACAGATATACAACAATTTTATAAGTACACACCTCCCCTTATAGCCTTATAGACAGTTCTCTGTTATGGACAGTTAACTTTGTCTAGGTAAAATTTTCATTTATTATTTCGCTTATTCCGCGAGCGAGCAAGACGAACAAAATCTTGTTTTGTGGTTGGCTATACCCGAGGGGCAACATGTGGGTTACCCGGGGTAACTCAGATTGACCTCGTGGGTAACTCCGGAGAAACTCGGAGTACTAGTGACTCGGAGGAAGCTCAATAGTGACTCGGATTAACTCGGAGGAAGCTCAATAGTGACCGAGAGTAACTCGGAGTAATTGAAAACTAATTGAGAACAAGATTAAGAGTAATTCAGAGTAACTCTTTGAAGCTGAACAGTAACCTGGAGTAGCTTGTAGCGAGCTGAAGACATCGGCGGAGGAGTATTCATTTGTGAGACGTACATCTTAAACCGTCATGCGCTCTCAGAAAATCTTTAGCATAAACGCAATATCAACTTAATTATAAACGGAGGCTCTGAGGACGAGAATGAAAGCAACTGCTTCTCTACTGAAAGGTCCTCCACAGAATTGGCATTTTATGTATTATTACGTATTTTTATCTTTTTTATTCCTTTTGTAACTGAAAAGCCCCTTTGGGGAGTTGCAAATAAAGTATGTATGTACTCACACTAGTCACCTTTGAGTCACTCTCGCTATAAAGACCCCGCTATAAAATAAACCTTGAATGGCGACATCACATCACTTGCACACAGCGATGCAAACGGTAAAGATGGAAAGTTAAAAGTTAAAACGAGATCTGAGCGAATTTTGAAAAATTTGTCCAATGGTGTTATTATAACACCATAGGACAAATTTTTCACCGTGGGACAAATTTTTCAAAATTCGCTCAAATCTCGTTTTAACTCTCCAGGGTGAGAAGAAATGACACCATTGAATGTTCAAGAATTTTTATTCGGTAAATTACCCATACATTAAACAAATTTAATGTCAACTCCTAATCTTCATACAAACTCTTATATTTTAGCTACAGTTCTGCATACAAACTTTTATATTACGCTTGGGTGACGTGGTTATTCGAGTTGAAAGAAAGCGTCATCGTAACTTTACTGATTATTCCTGCTGTATTCACATATTTTCAGCCAAGCTTTTAATATGTTCTCAAACATTTATCAACCTTAAACTTATTTAAAAACTAGAGATATTACATGAGTTCGATGTACGTTTTCATACGAAAGTAGGAAGTCCAATTTCATGTTTTACTGACTGTACAAAACTCGCATCGGTGGGCGCTCTTTATTCATCGACAACGGGCAATTTATTGGATTTTTACACAAACAAAACTAAGCAGCATCTACTGTCATAAACTTTATTGTCACTCATTGGGCCTTGATAAAACATCAAGCGTTGCTTACAATTCAGGCGAAACTCGAACTTGCAATTTTTGTTTTTACTTTTCGGTCGAGATAGTGTGCCGCACGGGATGGTGCAATTTGTTCTAAAATGGAATATTCCACGAGTCACTTGTATTTTCTCGGTCTTGCTATCGATTTGCTATCTTGACCGAATTTGCTTTATGTGTATTGGTCTAGTATGCAATTAAAATTTTTGACACAAAGATCAGCTCCCGCGTGCTCAAACAAACCACTATCCATATGACTGTCACAACAAGTGTTTACCTCCCCTATGTGGGAAACCGCTGACAAATGAGACGTTACTCGGTCACACGGTGCACGCTGGGTAGGAGATTAATTCGAGGGAAATGTTGTACAACTGAAGGCGCGGGAGATTTTAAACCAAGTACGTTTTTTTGACCAAACATGTTGCTAATGTTTAGTTTATGGTAAAATGAGGGTGACATAGCTTTGATATATATGTTTAGCTAGGTTAAAATTTTCTGTCGACTGTCGCCGAGTCTGTCTGACTTCTTCACAACGCTTTGCATGGTTCGTTGTGGAAAGAAGTGAAACGGCCACGTTGTGCGTTGCATTTCATGATAAGCTCACCAATTTTTTTTTAAATGTACGTCATGGTTATAAACTAGGGAACACCGGTCACTTCTGTTGAAAGCATTGTTTGATTCCTTTGAATACAATGTCCCCATGATGAACTGTTCACCAGTTGGTCCACATGTACAGTTGCTTTTAGCGGAGCTCCGGCGGCCCGAAAGGCCGCCAAGCGGAGCCCCATACTCATACAGGAAAGAAAAGGAAACCCATGAGTTGATTTTCTCATGGTTATCATGGCTAGCGGTATTGCTCGTGGGCGCGTACGCACGACGACGACGACGACGACGGCGGCGGAGTCGCCCAACATGGCGGCCATACTCCAAATAATAGGTTGACGGACACATGCAGCCTTGGCTTACCGTGTACTTCCTTAATATTGGACATCCATGTTATGATCAATTGACACCTGTCAAAACAAGGTATCCGCTGACCAGTATCACGTGACCATATCACGGGCTCAAGTTTACA